AAGGAGAAGGAGGAGGAGAAGAAAGAGAGGAGGAGGAAAAGGGGAGAAGAAGGAGAAAGAAGAAGGAGGAGGAGAAGAAGAGAGAGAGAAGGAGGAGGAGAAGGGTTATTGGCAGAGTTATAAAAACACGGAAAAAGGCTCTACGCTTATACAACTGGAGTACAGGCTCAGGGGTTGTGGCTTCTTTCTCCCGAGAGGCGTAATTCTGTGTGTAAGTCAATATTTTTTCGGTTTCCACCCCCTTAGTGGCCGGTTGGTGACCCAGCACAAGAGGCGGAGGGACAAGAACTTTTGTTGACTCAAGTCACCAGCCCTCTTTGAGTCAACAGCCGGGAGGAGGGAGCGTCCACCCCAAAATATTCTGTCCTAACTCTGGGGCTGGAGCAAAGGCGTCGGATCTCGTTTTCTGCAAGGGCTTCACAACTCCACGGACGGCCTACAAGTTCAAAGGATGTTTTTTTTTTCTGGCAGGATTGAGTTTCCTCGCCAAGAGGGTCGGAATGTGAGGACTCCAAATTATAACCCTTCCCCCTCCACACACAAAAAAAACACCCAGTGGTGTAGGGTTTCCTGCCAAAGCAGGGGTTGGACTAGAAGACCTCCAAGGTCCCTTTCAACTCTGTTATTCTGCTCTCCCTTCCTTTCCTTCCCCTCCTTCCCTTCCTTTCTTCCTCCCTTTCCTTCCTTCCTTTCCTTCCTTCCCTTCCGCCCCTCCCTTCCTTCCTCCCCCCTGCCTTTCCTTCCTTTCTTTTCTTCCTTCCTTCCATTCCTTTCCCTCCCTTCTTTTCTTCCTTCCTCCCCTCCCTTCCTTTCCTTCCCCTCCTTCCCTTCCTTTCTTCCTCCCTTTCCTTCCTTCCTTCCTTTCTTCCTTCCTTCCCTTCCCTTCCTTCCTTTCCTTCCTTCCCTTCCTTCCTCCCCCCGCCTTTCCTTCCTTTCTTTTCTTCCTTCCTTCCATTCCTTTCCCTCCCTTCCTTTCTTCCTTCCTTCCTTCCCTTCCTCCTTCCTTCCTTTCCTTTCCTTTCCTTCCTTTCCTTCCCCTTCCTTCCCTGGTCACAGGATCAAAATTCAGGTGTTTTGGCCGCTGACTTGTACTTATGACGGTTGCAGGGTCCCCAGCGTGTGTGTGAGATGTGATTTCCTCTTTTTTACGACCTTCAGACAAGCAAGAGTCAACGGGGAAGCCGTATCCACTGAACAACCCTGTTACTGCAGTGACTCACTTAACAACGGTGGCAAGAAAAAGGTCGTAAAACGAGGCAAGACTCACTGAACTTAACGTCTCACTTGCCGGCCTAAAATCTGGGCTCCATTTTGGGTGTGTGTGTGTGTCACAAGACGAGGATTACCTATATTCCTCCAGCTCCCTATCCGAGATAGATATTTAGTAGAACTCCGAGGTTAGGAGCAGTCTATCTTTGAGTTCCAGCTTTGTGGAGGGCAGTTTCAGCCAAGGGAGGAAGGGAGAGAATGAGAGACACTGTCTTTTTTGGGGGGGGGGGTCTTGATCTATGGGACAAGCCCACCCACCTTCTCCGCGCTGAAGAAGAAATAAACCAGGATGTACAGAGATTGCAGCGTCGCGCCCACAGCGTTAACCACGATCAGCGTCCAGTCGCCCTTCAGGAAACCATAGCTTAGCCAACTTAGGTTGCTGATCGAGAGAGAGAGAGAGAGAAACAAGATTTTTGAGCGACGAGCCCAATTCCCCTACTTTGAGATGTCTTAAATGGCCCCGGTAGTCCTCCACTTACGACGACAACCGAGCCCCCACATATCTGTCACTAAACGAGACCGCTGTTGAGTTTTGCCCCACTTTGCGACCCTGGGTGGCAAGGCGTGTCGTAAAATGGGACAAATGTCTCACTTAACTTAAATGTGTCACTTAGTGACAGAAATGTCCCTTCTGGTCGTAAGGTCGAGGACTTCTCGGCAATTTAATTTAAAATTTTTTTTTTTCAACTGGAGTCGTTTTTGATGGCCTCTCTCGGCTATCAGGACCCCGTTGAGCCGATCGATCATGCAAACATGCCCGAGGATTGAACTGATCTCCCGCTCCTGCAGCGTTAAGGGGCTGGGAAAGGACCCTAGAGATCATTTAGTCCAACCCCCCCACCCCCTAACCCCGGGACACCATCGCTAATGGGGCTTACTTTACATCGGTCGTCAGAAAGGGGAGAAACTGGATATTTTCCACGCTTCGGGTTGCAAACATTTTCCGGAGGTCAGTCCTGAGTGCGAAACAAGACAAGGCACCCATTAAAATCACCCGTCTCCTGCCCTGAGGAAATTAATTTATTTCCCTATTTTTTTTTTCCCCTCCCTTTAATTCAACCCCCAGGGCTCTGAAAACTTGCTGGTTCAGGCAAGAAAGTACTTTCAATAGTTTCGTTCATTATATATATATTTTTAAAATATATATATATATATATCAATTTTTTGATTATATTTGCAAACCGTTTGGGGCGGGTTTTACCTGGGAGAAGGGCCCCGAGACCCATAACTAAGATTTGAACATGGCTTGTTTCTTGAGTTCTCCCCAGGTAGGATCCCTCATCCACCTTCCTCCAAACCCTGCCCCACACCTATGATTTCACACACCCCGAGTTATGTTTTGCAAGCCTTTTTCGGGGTTGTGATGACACACACACACACACAGAGGTCTATGGGACTGATTGCCCCATAGTTGTGAAGATCCTCCTGGTGTTAAAGCCCCTCCCCCCATGCGCCCCAAATAATTAAGCAATGGGCGGGGGGCCTAGAGCTGTGCTTGTGGGGCTGAGCCACGAAACAGTTTACTACTCGGTGTCAAGTTCAACACACACATACACACCCCATAGCCACTTCTGACCCACAACCAGAGCTTTGCTTTATGTAAATCTGCTTCCTGGACAATCGTTACACCGGCTCACCTGAGCAGACAGGTAGAATCTGTGGCTCCACCCACCCGGAAACCTCCATGCCAGTGTTTGCATCCACGTGTACACTGGGGGGTTGGGGGCTCGTTTTGTCCAAGGCTAGCCCCCCTACTCTCATTTCTACTGGACAACACACACACACACACACGGGGGGGGGGGAGAATTGAAAAGTGGGGGCAGCTCCTTGGCTCTGACCCCGTTGCAGGAAGCGGGTGGGCACAAATAGACCCACACAGTATGCTGAGCCCCCACTCCCAACTCTGCCTTCACACCCCCCTCAGCTCTGCTTCCAGGCCCCCAGGTCTGCTTACAGCCCCCCCAACTGTGCTTACAGCACCCCCAGTCTTGCTTACAGCCTCCTAGCTCAGCTTCCAGCCTCCCAGCCCTGCTTGCAACCCCACAACCTTCTTACAGCCTACCTAATTCTGCTTACAGCCCCCCAGCTCTGCTTACAGCCTTCTAACCCTGCTTACAGCCCCCCAACTGTGCTTACAGCCCCGCAGTCTTGCTTACAGCCTTCTAACCCTGCTTACAGCCCCCCAGCTCTGCTTACAGCCCCCCAGTCTTGCTTACAGCCTTCTAACCCTGCTTACAGCCCCCCAACTGTGCTTACAGCCCCGCAGTCTTGCTTACAGCCTTCTAACCCTGCTTACAGCCCCCCAGCTCTGCTTACAGCCCCCCAGTCTTGCTTACAGCCTTCTAACCCTGCTTACAGCGCCCCAGCTCTGCTTACAGCCTTCTAACTCTGCTTCCAGCCCCCAGCCCTGCTTGCAAACCCCCAGCTCTGCTTACAGCCCCCCAACCTTCTTACAGCCTCCCAGCCCTGCTTGCAACCCCCCAACCTTCTTATACAGCCTTCTCACTCTGCTCCCCCCCCCCAGTTCTGCCTACCGCCCCCCCAGCCCTCCTTGCAACCCCGCCCCACCCCAGTTCTGTTTACAGCGCCCCCCCCCACCCCAGCCCTGCTTACAGCCCGGTGCCGAACATGCCCAGCGTGAAGACCAGGGAGGTCCAGGAGAGGAGCTGCAGCAGCGCCCCCTCCATCCCGGCTCGCCCGTCCCCCCCACCCCCTCACACCCGGGAGGCTCCGGACCCTCCGCTGGCCCCGGGAGACGCGCAGGCCGCCGGACGGGCGAGCGGGCGGGCACGAAGAGCGCAGGTGCTCCGCCTTTCCGGAGGCGGATCGCGCTGCTCCGCCCGGGCGCTTTTGCGAGGGGAGCGCGAGGCTTGCGGGTCGGTGGGTTTCTTTGCAAAGCGGAGGGAGGGAGGGAGGGGGGAAGGGGTAAGAAGTGGAGGAAGGAAGGAAGGAAGAGAAAGAGAAA